ATCAAATAGAGTAAAAGTAGGGGTTATACCGTGGGGGAGGGACATACAAAGCAACAAAGAAATCATCTTATAAATATGTTAGAAACAATTGCATGAAAGAAAAAGAAAACATTTGAATACTTATCTTGAGGTTCATTCCCCTAACATCAACTTATCTGACCTTTTCTGCTTGACTCAGACATATACTAGTTATTGTAAATAAGAGAAACCATGGCCTGGCTTACTTCACTTAATATAATTTTTTCCAAGCCTTTCCATTTCCTAATAAATGGGGCAATGTCATTCTTTCTGATGGAGGTATAGAATTCCATTGTGTATATATACCACATTTTCTTGATCCATTCATCTACTGAGGGGCATCTGGGTTGGTTCCATATCTTAGCTATGGTAAATAAGGCTGCAATAAACATAGTTGTGCTGGTAGCTTTAGTATGATCTTGTTTGTGATCATTGGGGTAAATGCCCAAAAGTGGGATTGCTGGGTCATAGGGTGGGAGTGTAAACTTGTTCAACTACTTTGGAAAGCAGTATGGAGGTTCCTCAAAAGACTCCACATAGAGCTCCCCTATGACAAGGTAGTTTTTTTGTGTTTTTGTTTGTTTGTTTGTTTGTTTTTTGTTGTTCTTGGGCTTGAATTCTGGGCCTGAGTGCTATCCCTCAACTCTTCAGCTCAAGGCTAGCACTCTACCACTGGAACCACAGCACCACTTCTGGTTTTCTGGTGGTTTATTGGAGATAAGAGTTTCATGGACTTTCTTGCCCAGGCTGACTTTGAACCACGATCCTCAGATCTCAGCCTCCTGAGTAGCTAGGATTACAGGTGTGAGCCACCGGCACCCGGCTGACAAGGTAGCTTTGAAGAAGAAAAGGTACCCACTGTGTGGACCCTGTAATGATGAGCAGCAGTTTGGTTTCTGAAGATCAAGGATTTTATTAGACATACATAGAAATCTATCCTGGCATGGCATATGGGACTGTAAGAGTTTATATTTGTGCTAGCAGAAATATATGGCGTTAATTAATGCTAAAGGCATTAGCATAGTATAGAGGTGTAGATTCAAGGCTATTACCTAATGTTTCTTTCCCTGGTAGAAGCTGTGTGTATATTCCACTAATGGAACACTATTAACAAGGAGGAAACTAATCACAGGTATGGGAATGTTAGAAATATACTCAGGGCATTTGCTGTCATGAAGATTGTGACCTAGCGGTGAAGAGGAATCTTATGCAAGTAAATAACCTGGCAATTATGTGCTCAAAACTTTAAAGAAAACTGAAGCAAGACCTTGCTATGTCCAAGGATTTGTATTGCCATTCGTTTCCTTCTGTCATATTTTTTTTTTGGTGCCAGTACTGGGGCTTGAACTCAGGGCTTCACACTTGGATTTTTCACCCAAGGTGGTGCTCTACCATTTGAGCCAACCTCCACTTCTGTCTTCTGTCATTTCTTCATTCTTAGCCTAAAGCAAATAATGCTAATTGGTTATAATATTTTTCCCAGTTAAATTCTGAATCCTTCCCAACACTGTCTAAAGCCAACCATTATTAGTCACACAAAGTAGTCCTAGAATCTAAACCTACTGGCCATCCAAGATCTGGCTCATTCCCAGCACACTACTCCAAGGCTAGAAAGCCTTGGCCTGAGGACTCCAGTGATATAGACTCAGTATCTGATTGGTAAGGCTTCAATTTCCAGGCTCTGCACACCATTCATAAGTGTTGGGTGAAGGAGTTTAGGAGAACTGACTCACAAGCGGTAGTATTTGTGGCTGCGGATGATCTGATCTAAATTTGTTATATTCTATTCTAAAGCTCCTTTTGGGGGACCAACCTGTTTAGGGCATTGCAAGCTATAATTTACATTATTTCAGAGCTCCAGTAGGAAGGTTTCTCTTTGTTCTTATGAGTTATTTCTTGAGGAAAGTACATGTTTTGTGGAGAGTTTGAGGCCAGGCTTAAACTGAGGACATTACCACAAAGGCCTAGTCTTTTATTTTCCTTCCCAGCATTTCTTCTCATGTGCTTAAATTGATGAGTCGTTCTGAGTCTTGTTTCCTGCTCAACCAAGATAAAATTTCAAGAAAGAGAGGGAGAGAAAGGGCAAGTCTTCTGTCAAACGGGCCTGTAAAATCTGGATGCTTATGCAGGATTTCACTTTGGTATTTATTTTACAGTTCATCAAACACTTGTATTTCTTAAAGCCCCCCTGTGCATTTCATATGACATAGGTTGTGATCCAATACCAATGCATTCCTCAACATGGAATTCTTACTACTCTGCAATGTTCATATGTCCAAGGTTTTCTTTTTCATTTCATGAAAAAGATGTTTAAGATTTCAGAAACTTTTCTCTAAGTGATCCCTCATTTGAGGCTCAGTTTTTTACCTCTTCATACATTTTTATGAGCTCTTGAGAAACACTAGAGAGACTTGTGAACTTCCTTTCTGAATAGTTTTATCCTTAACTAGGAAGAAAGAATCAACAAGCATGCTTGTGTTCCTTTCTTTTTTTAAATAGAGAGAACTGTTTGGGGTAAGGATGTTAGGAATGGAGTGCTGAAGAGATCATGGAGAGCCTAATGCTATTTTAGAGACCTCTCTGAAATATGAGACATTTCTTTTACCCTTTCCCCCTTCTACCCTTTACTGGGTTGCATCCACTGGGGCAGGGGATAAAATCAGATTTATGGATGCCTTGATCTTAGTACAAATGAAAGAGAGTGCTCTTCCCAAGATTAAAAGAATGGAGAAATGCAGAAAATTCAAATGGGAATCCTGGGATGTCTAATTTGTCCTTTCTTTTTGATAGTTCTGGTTTTAAACTCAGGACCTTGCACTTGCTAGATGAGTGCTCTACCACTTGAGCTATATCAAAGCCCTTGACTCTGAAGTTTGTTTTTCCCATACGGTTTTGTGTTTTTTCCTAGGTTGGCCTCAGCTGTGATCCTCCTACCTCTACCTCTTAGCAGCTGGGATTATAGTCATGTTCTAAAACCGTGCCTATTTGTTTTTGAGACCAGATGATTTTTTTTTTCTCACTTCAACTCCTAAGTATCCAGGATTACAGGTATAAGCCCCTGTGTCCAGTCATGATTTAGTTTTCTTACATCTTAGAGCACTTCTGAACTTTTAAATTCTAGGTAGGTGGGGAGAATATCTGTCGCCACAGTTCCCAAGTGTTTGGGGTCTTTGTTCATTGTAAGTTGAATATAATATGTACATTCTATATTCCGGCAGCTCAGCACTGTTAACATATTGCATGTATATATGAAACACTGTAGAAAGCCAACCATCAGTGGCTCATGCCTATAATCCTAGCAACTCAGGAGGCTGAGACCTGAGGATCAGGGTTTGAAGTCAGCTAGGAGAGGAAAGTCTGTGAGAACCTTACCTTCCATTAACTATGAAAAAAAGCTGGAAGTGTAGTTGTGGCTCAAGTAGTAGACTGCTAGCCTTCAGCAAAAATCTCAAGAACAGTACCCAGGCCCTGCGTTTAATTCTCAAGACTGTTATATGCACATGCATGTGTGCACATGCACACATTGTAAAAATCTGACATACATACAGACATATACACACAAAAATCGTATAAATCTTGAATCTATGGCTCACAGATCTGTCTGTAATCTTAGCTACTCAGGAGGCTGAGATCTAGAGGATTTTATTTCAAAATTTGGGAATAAAAGTCTGCTAGACTCCATCTCAAGTTATCAGCTAAATGCAACACTGGAGGCCTGGCGCAAGTGGTAGAGCACCATTGTGAGCAATGAAAACTAAGTGAAAGTGTGAAGCTGAGTTTAAGCTCTGATACTAGCATACACATACATTCACACACTAAAGACATTATATAATTATATAAACTCTAAGTTGAATTATTTGTTCCATCTGTAAAATGAAAGTATCTGGCATTAGGTTGCTGTGATTTAATGGGATAATATAGATAAAGGACTTCAATACAATGCTGGTGACAAGTTCACGTTTGACAAATGTCGAAGATGAGAAGGAGAATTCAGTCTTCATAATGATGTTGTTCCTAGATTGAGTATTTAATACATGGATAATATTAATTCATTTCCAGATTAGAGAAATGCTTTCAAAGCTTACAGATACAGTAATCACAATACAGTGATGTTAAGCCACAGCCTAATAGTTCTAACAGACAAGAAAAAAAAACAGACAAGCAGATCTCATAAATGTTCATCTTTTCCTATTAATTTCAGTCTCTGTGCAGAAATACTGGTGGAAAAGCTGTTTTGGGAAACAGCTTTTGGTTTGTGCCACTGAGAAAGCTGTTTTGTCTTGACTGCATTTTTATTTCATGACTATCAGCCTTTCTTTCAATGCACAAGTTTGTGTACATGCTCTCTAACCATCCATAACAGGAATAGCTAATATATTGGAAAGCAAGGAAATTTGACTTTAAAAAAAAAAAACCAATGTTTTTCTAAGCATGTATCTTTATGTACGGCAGGATTGCTCAACTTTGGCACTGTTAACATGTGGACTGAATGATTCTTTGTTGTGGGGACTATCCCATGAATCGTAGGATGTGTGTGCAGCACCCTAGCCTCTACTATCTGAGACAAACAGCTCTCCCTCCCTTCATTCCACCCTCCCAGTTGTGATGTCCCCAAATGCCTCATCTAGTCAAGACTACTGGCATGCAGGAAGAAGCTGTGCCATGGGGTTGTGCCATTGGGCTGCTGATCAGAAGCAGCTCGAGTCCAACTTTGCAGAAGTTTACCAAGTGCTTTGGGCATGGTGATTCCTAAACATGTCCTACAAAAGTCCAAGTGTCTGTTGACAGCACAAATTAATCATTACTGTTGCTTTACTTTGAAAAGACATTGGGTTTCGTAGTATATCATTCGTCCTCTCCTCATTTTGATTTTTGTAATCACCCATGGAAACAAAGTAAAGTTTTACAATGAACCTTAACTTCTTATATAATGATAATTTTTTTTCTTTTCTTCTTTTTGTTCCCTCCCCCCATTTATTCAGCTCCCTCAGGCTCAAAAGGTAAAGTCTTCTTTGTCACATCCCAGTCATTCTCAAAAGTCACAAGTCATGCATGTGTCCATAGTGTTGTGCATTTGGCACTGTTCATGACCAGTGAAATGGTTTTTCTCTTACAGTCTCAGAAACCTGAAGTTGACAGGGACACCGTGGACTTGGTCCACGGCCGCAGCCATGCTGGTCCCACCTGAGACCCAGCCACAGCCAGTGGCTGAGGGATGAATCCATTACGTTTAACTTTTCTCTTAAAACTTCTTAGGTCAGGAGTAAGTTTGGCACAGTTCTTCAAACATAACATTCCAGACCTTCTTTGGAATACTCTCCCAGGGAGGCAGATAATGTGAATGATTAGTAGGGTCTAGTGACCAAGTTTAAATTCTAGGTGCCTAAGCCAAGTCTCTGAAAACTCTCATGGGTTTCATTCCTTACAAATCTGTCACTTCCTTTGTTTGTCTCATTGCCTGTGACACCCAGAGAGTGTTAGAGCAGAGTTCTTGCCAATGGCAAGACCCTTTCACTGGTCGTCATTGTCTCTCAGAGATGGTCTGGTTCTGACATCTATAATGTCCTCTATCCAGAAAGACTCCATCTAATTGCAGTGGTGGCTTTACTGTGTCGTCTCCATGGCATGTTATTGTATCCTAGGAATAGTTACGATTTTAAAAAAAGAGGGAGAGAGAGAGAAAGGAGAGAGAGAGAGAGAAAGAAAGAATAAAAGCCACATTATGTTTGCTGCCTTATTCCTGTGTATTTCACAAACGTAACCAAGACTTCTAGACGCAAAAGCAATTTCTGGTGACCAGATGTGGATTGGTTTTACTTCAAGAGTTAAGGTATGGCACCACTGTGAAATTTAAGCAGCATTTCTTGAGCTTCCCATTTTGGACCAGGGATGATTAGGTTCGTCTTCATAGAGAAGTAGCACAACTGCTCTGCAGAAGACAGTCTGTTCAGACCATATGGACAACCAGAGGCCTAAAAAACATGACCCAATTACTCAAATATATTTGAGATATTTAAACAAGGCGAGACATGCTAGTGTGTGATGGCCTGTGGTGATGTTTGATTACACTTGAATGCCATTACAAAAGGACTGAACACTTCATTAAAAGTTAAAGTATTCAAGGATAGCAACAGCTTCTAGGGTAAATAAATGGTCTGAATTCCAAACTGTTTGGAAGACTTGCTATCTTTGATGGCACATGCTTTCTTAATTGCCTACATTGCCTAATTTTCCTTTCTGTAAAGAGACTTAACAAACTCAGTACTCAAAACTGAACCTTTACTTACCAGCATTTACATATCACGGTGCTACTGATCCATACACAAAAGTGTTCCTGTTGTCCTGTTGTAGAAGTTTCCTCATGAATTGGAGGAGCTATCAGCCATATTTTAAAACAAAGTCCAAACAGACCAAGATAGAAGAAAGAACGTTGCTGGACTATATGATTCATCCATAGCACACAGTACGTTCATTTCTTCTGTTGTATTTTGACTCAATCACAATCTGTTTAGAGTAGAGCGTGTTATTGTGATCATAGGAAGTCCAGAGTCAAGGAAGATGTCTCGATTGCTCTCCTAATTCTTTCCCTGTCCCCAGAAGAGGCAGACAATCCAAGCAAATTGTTCCATAGCCATCATTCTGCCTCCTGTTCTGTCATACCTACTAATGTGTCTTTTTCTCTATTCAAACTGAGGAGGTTTATCTTTTAAAAATATTAAGAACCCTAGTGTGAAATTGTCTTAGAACTTGTGTGGTGGGTTTCTCTAGGTAATTCAGCTCTGGAGAAAGATTTTGCATGTAAACTTTAAGAGTTTGGGCTAGGGGGTAGAGGATATTAGGAAGAGCATCTCCCAGATGAAAGGCATCCTGTTTAGGATGGAAAGACCCACCTGGTGATGAAATGACTCAGCCTGCATGCCTCTTATTCACTTTTCATCTCCTCTCCATCTTCAGTATTGCCTCAATAATATGTGTAGAGGCTTTTCTAGATGGGCTAGGTCCCTGAAAACCATATTTCCTCAAATATTCCATCTAGACCAATGAAGGAATGTGTTGATTTTGCCATCCATGACTGTGGTCATAATACTTAACTTCTCTAAGCCTGTGGCTCATAGCTATTTAATGAGACTGATAGACTACTTTTCCAATTTTGGAATGAAAATCATTCTCTACCTATGCCTCATACAGAGTCTGACATGCTAGAGACATACAAAATATGAAGTTCAAAGTTTGGTTTGATCTTGATGCCCCAGAACACATCAACAGAGCAGCTATGTGGTAAGGGGTGGTCTGGGACCTCTGTATAATCTTTTGTGGACCTAGCTCAAGCCAACCAGTAATAAAGATTTGGTGGAGTCCAGCAGATATGTAATGCTCCTGTTTCATTAGAAACACCATATTAACAAGCTGCACCTGCTACATGGAGTCAGATACAAATAAAGAGTGAACTTTAATCTCCAACAAAGCAAAGACTTCCAGAGTAAAGTCAGTTGAGATTTGTTCCCAATTCTTAGACATTACCAATTTATTTCAGCCATTCACAGATATGATTATAATGAATTCCTTTAGCCCCCAAAAGCTTGCTGTTCTCTGGGGAAAGGGAGACATCCCAGCCACTCTGTCTTTGGATCACTTTTCATATGAGGTCATGAGCACATACATTGGACCATCTGCTGTCTGCATTTTTTGCTATGTTTTTATTGGAATGTATCTTTGTATCATCTGCAACTGTTTTCTCTATAAATATTACAAATAACTATGTCTCTGTAAACATGCTTATTTTAATCTCTAAGCTGATCTACAACTAAAACATGTTCAATTTTGGTGCCCTAATGTGTGGCAGACATTACTGGTTGTTTTCAATAAGTTATGGTTGTCATGATTCTGTTGTTTTGAGGGTTTTGCAAAACGCGGATGAGAGTTACAGAATTTACAGTATTAAACCTAGTTTGTGACTTAGGCAAACTAAATAGAAATGGAACAAGTCCACATCTACCTGTGGTGGTAGATGCCTCAATTGTAATGATGGCAGTTTTTTAGAACAGTGATATGCAGTAAAAAGCCTTGTTTGTATTTGTTAACCTCTAAGAGAATTGCTAGGTTCCATACATTTCAACCCTTGTTACAGCATTAGGGTACTAGCTGCTAGTGCTCCTGATGAATAGTGAATACTTTCACCAAATATGGAGGTAGTATCTGAAGTTTTAACTAAAAACCATGTAGCAATTTACGTCCATTGCCTTTGATCTTCACAAATCTATTCTTTTGGATGGAAATCAAGCTAGTTTTTCCACTATATTATCTTTGAATTCCACAAAGACAGATCTGTATGTGACCATGCTTTCCCTTTCCTTTCTTTTTCTCTTCTTTTTGCTCTTTCTTTTGTTTACTCTCTTGTTTTTTTTTTTTTTAAATTGTGAAAATACCGTACAGAGGGGTTACAATTACATGGGCAAGGTAATGAGTACATTGTTGCCTCCTCCCTTGTTTCCCCTTCCCATCCATTCCCATCTCCCCGCTCCCACCAAACATCCCCCCTCCCCACACCAAAGTTGTAAAGTTCGTTTTTGGACATAATGTATTGTACATCTCATTGTTGCAATGGGTCCACCTCTATCCCTATTTAAACAATTTGTTTCTTCCCTTCCCCTCCACAAATAATACCAACATCAAATACAGTGAAAACAGGGGTTATCCTTTCCTTTTCTCTTATGTGCTAGCTGTTGATTTCTGTGAAAATAAAAGATTTTTAAAAAACAACGTCATAGCAGAACCACCCAAAGCCATTTATAACTGTCTGTTCAATAGTCTGACTAACAAAATGTTTTGCAGACTGCATTTTCATTCAAGTAGCTTCTGCCTGTGCATCAGTTGGTAAAAGTAGGGTTAATTTAATCAATGTAGATTTAATCAATGCAGAGTGAGCCTTGGATACTTACTCAGGAATACTCTTTTAGCAATTCCAAATGTAGCTGACCATGTGGGCTACCTGTCTGGACACTAGTACCCCACCCCTTCATTTTCTGCTGCTTTCTTACCACTTTGGAGTTTGCCAAAGACAATTTCTTGATACGTTCCTTGGTGCTCTCTGTCTTACTTTGTTGACACTGTGTTGATTAATATCAGCCTAAAGATTCTAAGAAGGCATGAGCGTTTTTTTTTTTCTCTCAAAACCATAGTTAAAGCAAACCACATCTCTAATCCTGTTTGGAATGGCAATTGATGCATTCAGAGCTGCACTGTACAGCAAAATGATCCCTGTTTAATAGCCTGACCGTGTGTTTTGTTTCCTGTTAGGAATAGCTTAACTTGCCTTCTTGAACAAACACAGCAGGGTTCAAGATCTGTTGTTCTACGCCTGCTGGGATATTCTGTGCTGCTTTTACTTGTATGAGGACTGGGGACTGCATAAATTAACTTCTTAAATGAAAGTTGGAGTTTTTGGTCCTTCAGGATAAACTGTTTTATTAATCCCCCCCACATACCGGTGTAAATGGGAGGCTAAACCATTTGCATTTTCTTTGTTTCCTTTCTTACATTGTATTTTGGGGGAATAAAGGGAAGCATTCATTTATCTAAAGCTTGCTTGCCTCCCCCTCCTTTCTGTCTTCCTCCAGTCTCCTTCTCTCCCTACCTTCCATCCTTCCTTCCTTTTTTCTTTTTTTCCCTTTTCTTGCTTTCTATCATCTCACATCATCACTTTCTTTGGATACAAAGTTATTTGGCTTACCTCTTATCACAGTGTAATCAGATTTTAGCAACTGTGGGGCATTTCTTATTGTTTGCCTCATTTACCTTCCATACTTTGAGCAATAGAATTATCTGTCGTTGAAAATAAAATATTGAAAGTTGATGAAGTCGCTGCGTTCATAGAACTGCAGATCTAGTGATTTTAGTGTTTTATTTCATTGATATAGCCAGCTAAATTAATGAAGTGAGAGGTGATTTACATTTGGTTTTGGTTTAGGACTAGTTTGCATATAAACTATTATTTCTTATT